AAAAAAAACCAATCTGAATATCAACTTTTCGAATTTTCTAATATTGATAGGATTCTATATTCGGACAAACTTTAGAGTAAACATTCCATAGAATGACTTTTCCGTTCATATCTTGCTCTAGATTTGAAGAAACAAAGACCTACATGCATAAATCCTTTTTGACTTTACATGATTTCGTGAAGATTTTAATCTGTGAAAAAGCATTTACGACGATTCTACTGAAAAGGGAATTGCTTGAAATGATTCAAAGTTTCAATCAAAACGATTGCTTCTATCTTGAGATATTCAAAAATGGATTCGATTTAAGAAACAGTCAAACAACAGCAATACTTTTTAAACATTTTAAGAAACAATCAAACATTTATCAGGAAGTTTTTTATAATATTCTTAAGACTATGGTACCTACTTATAGACAAAATTTCAAATAAAAATATTTTGTTCAATGTTTCTGTCAATAGCTTATCGTATATTAAATATACAGTAAAGTTGTCGTAATTCAACATATCAGTCTCTTTCTTTCGATATCTTGCTCAAAAGTAATGAATTACTTCAAGTAATTTGAAATAAAATCGAATTTTTTTTTTCCATTTAAAATTTTCTGTATATTCATGATTTGTTTTTATTTCTCGATTCAGACAACAGAGGATGAATATGAACAAAAACAAGAACATTTAATTGATGGAATTCGTCATACTAATAGTACATCAGATATTTTAAATCAAACAAAAACATTATATTATCCTTCACATGCTCGTTCAGATACAGATCTTCTCATAAATCTTTCATCTTCTTCTCAAAATGGACTTTTCTATAACAATTCTAATGATACTATAAAGTCAATTAATCAAACAAAATGAATTCATTCAATGTTCACTATACTAATCATAATTGTTAGCTTTAAGCCAGATCATTTATTCTTCCATTTATAAAACCAATATTCCAATATCTAATTCATTTATAAATATTATTCTTCCATTCGGTCAATTCCAAAAAGAAAAATTCAAAACTCTTTTTTTTTTGTACAGATAATATTTTAATAAAATCTATGAGTCGTATTCAAAATGCGTTCTCCTATTCAATATGTATTAATCTTTTTTTTTTTTTGTCTTTTATAAAATAAAACAAAATCTCAAATTACAAGAAGTTATTGTCTATTTATTTGTTCATTTAAAAAGAAAAAAAAAGAAATCAGATCGATAAACCAAAAACGGAGACAATAGCATACATTGTTTTATTTTCCCAACTAAAAAAAAATAAATGAAAAATTACTTTTTTTTGTTTTTTGAAATTTGGTTTTTGAAAATTCTTACCGAACAGTGCATGATCCATCTGTAGTATTATCCCAAAAACATGAACTTGCTGTATGTAAACCAGCACCATTTTTTTGCATAATTATACATGATACAATATATTTAAAAGGTTTATTTAATTTTGTTAATGAATTAAGTATAGCTTCGACTATATTTGACGTCCATGTATTAATTTTTGTTTGTTGATATGATTGAGATCCAATTGTTGCTTCGATTGTTTCTTTTAT